CAGTGTTGGCGGTGGCTCACGCTTTCATGATTTTGCAGTTACCCCGTGGCATGACAGTATGGCGACACTCAGTCTTACCTTTTGGTGCGTCGGCTTCAGTTTGGCATTTTAATAGGTGCACTGATGCTGTGGTGTGGCTTGCCAGATGTCTGCTGATGATTGTTGCCCTCCATTACGTGGATGATATCGGGGGCCCCGAACCGCCGTGGTCGGCCCAGTCAGCTTGTGATTCTTTCAAGGAGTTGTGCGAGCTGCTGGGTATACGGGTTAAGCCATCCAAGGAACAGCCACCTGCTTTTCTACAGAAGGTTTTGGGGGTTTGGATTTCAGTTTCGGCCGAGGGCATTGAGGTTCGTCCTGATGAGACTCGCGTCCTCAAGATGCGGAAAGCGCTGCAGGATTGTCTTGTTAAAGATGAGCTCACCCCGGAGGAGGCGTCTAGATTGACGGGCAAGCTGATGTTCTTGCAGACGAGCTTGTTTGGTCAGGTGGGACGCGCTGCTTTGCATCCCTTGTATGCTCGAGCCCACGGAGGTTCTGACCAGGTTACGTCGTTGAACCAAGGTTTGCGGGGAGCCATTCATTGTCTTTTGGCTCTCTTGGAAAGAGCTCAACCTCGCTGCATTCCTGCGGGCTTGGGTGCCCAGTTCACTTCAGTCATTTATGCTGATGCCTTTTTCCGTATGGGCGAGCAGACCTGGAAGGCGGGCCACGCTAAGGTTCGTCACTGGTCACGACGACCGGTGACCCAACTGGACAACGGTTGGGGTTTCTTGGTGCACACTGCTTCTGGCACTACAGCGGGGCATGGCCAAGCCCCGCCCGAGGTGATCGCCAAGTTCAGCTCGCGCAAAGCTTACATTTTCTTTCTGGAGGTCAACGCCCAACTTTTAGCTCTGCTGGCTAACAGATCGTCAGTTGGGGCCTTCTGGGTAGGCTTCATTGACAACACTGCGGGTCGAGCTGCATTGAGCAAAGGCTTTACTTCTGATGCTTGCATCAACAATCTTTTGTGTTTCTTTTGGTCGCTTTGTGCAGAACTTAAGTGGTTTGCGCATTTCGAGTGGGTGGCCAGCCATTTGAACATTTCTGACCCGGTGTCTCGAGGCGACGTTTCGGTCACTCAGCCTTTAGGTGCCAGGATGCTCTCGGGTGTCCCCGATGCCTACTGGAGGATGCTTCTTCGCATCGCTGATGACATGCAGTATGCCAGCGGAGAGGCTGTGCAGGACGCTTTGCGCTTGGTTTTCCAGTACTCCTGAGCCGGTTTTCCATACTTTGAGCATATTTGTACATGAGGCATTTTGCGTCACAAGGTGGCGAGATGGCTGTGACTGGCGGTGAGAATCGCCACAGCAGTTCGCCACATGGATTCGTTCCACTTCGGTTGCATCCGTGCAGTCCACAGAACACTCCGGAAAAGACCGTTCTCCAACTTTAGATTCCTTTGTGATCGATAGGGCATGTCGAGTAGCACAGCATGTGCGAAGGGACATGCACGAGAGAGCGAAGGGCTTAGCTCCGCGCAGCCGAGCGGCCCGAGCTTCTCTCGAGTTTTCTGTTCTCCCACCCACCACACCCTGGGTTACGGAGTCCGTTCTTTACGTGTAGCCGGGTTCGATCTGTGTGGCGTCTCTTGGACAGGGTGGTGAGAATCGCCACAGCAGTTCGCCACATGGATTCGTTCCACTTCGGTTGCATCCGTGCAGTCCACAGAACACTCCGGAAAAGACCGTTCTCCAACTTTAGATTCCTTTGTGATCGATAGGGCATGTCCTCCCCAATCCCCCTTCGGCCGAAAGGAAGGAAGGAATAAAGATAGAATCAAGGAAAGAAACAAAGACCCTGAACCCGAAACCCTAAACACTGAACCAAACAAGGAACGAAGGAAAGAACTAAATACAGGCAGAAGAAACTACGCTTTGAATGAAAGAAACAAAGAGACAGAGAGAGAGAGAGAGAAGGCTAGGGGGTCTCCCCTTAGCCCACATCCCTGGCGAAAGAAAGGCAAGAACGAAAAAGAAAGCCAAGAAAAAGATAATCAGATGACAGAAAGAAGGACATAAGACAAGACAAACAGAAAGACTTCAAACTGATGGGAATAACGACACACAGACATAAAGAAGTAAATGCATGAAGAACAAGAGAACCAAATTAATCTGCTTATTTAGTTTTTCTTTCGTGTTGCTTTTCCTTTTTTGCTTGTCGCTCATTGCTTGGTTTTACTTGTCAGATAGATTTCCCGGCAATCGTTTTCATTATTAGGGTGTTGTTTAACTTATAAGAGGGAAGCGATTAGAAGCTTTCAAGCCCCATCGTACAGGCGATGTGTTTGCAAATGAGAGGGGCTGCGCCCCCAACCCCCCTGCTTCACAGTGCAGGCTTGAGCATCGTACCATCAAGAACAGAACTCAGCCCTTTCAGAACCCATCCTTGTCTTTGCAACTGGGGGGGGGGGGGGCCTGCACCTGCCAATCCCCCCGCTGCCCCCCTGCTTCTTGTTGAGAGGCTTTCACAGCAGACAACCCAATGCCAGAGGTCTTGTTGACATAGCTTCTCATAAATACGGTGGTAGGCAAGACGGCCACTCAAGACTAGCGACTGCAATGACCGAGGCCGAAGTGCTTTACTTCGGGTCATGCACATGCTGGGATTCCCGCTGACAGACGCTTTGCTTGAAGAAGACCCTCATTGCCACAGTCGCAGGCTGGCATACCCGTAAACGACAGCCAGATGCATCTACGCGTGCGTTTGGAACAGAGGGTAGCAGCTCAGGATCTGGAAGTTGACTTGCTCTGTGGCGCCTTCAGAGCTCGCCCCAGCTTTCGCTGCCTTAGGCTTTGGCTACTGCGCGGGGAAGTCTGTACGTCGCTGCACGTCGTGGCATGCAAAATTCAGCGCAGGGCCCGTGCGCAGTCTGCCCGTGAGAGAGCACTATTCCAGGCGACGACATGGGATTCAACTACTTGCGCTTCTGTTCAGTCAAGACCTTATGCTTATGCCCACTCGAGCTTGACATCTCTGCCATGAAATGGTTTTAGCTGCTATCGACGGCTCTTGCTTGCTCCTTGAGGTCGTGGACCCCTTCATGGTCAGAAGCTCGGCGGTCCTGCGATTTGCGAGATTGTGCCGTGGGAGACATGTTTAATTTGCGTTGGAGGCTCCGGCAGACGAAAGCAAGAAGGCTGTGCAGCCACCTCCGCGCGCCTCCCAGATAATGCCCGGCTCTTCCAGAATTCTAAAAATGCCATCAGCTGCAGTGGCAACCGAGGAGCATCTACTTTGACTTCGCCGGTCGAGTTGCTGCAGCCTCAGATGCGGCTTCCACACGGGCGCAGGGCAGTGTAGGATGAAGTGTGGAAAAGCCCTGCGATTTGCAAATCGTTGTGTAGTTCGGACTATGAAAATCAAGGTGCCACATCCGAGTCTGAGCCGGCCTGCATCAGCGCCTCAACTAAGGAGGTGATGCCAAAGGTGCACGACCAGCCGGGTAGTTTTTCTGACGCCGTGTAAGTCAGTGAGTAGAGGCAGCAAGCACCCTAGATAACTACCCGCTGGACTCGCTGTAAGACTGTAGGTTGGTCGCGAATACCGCGTCCAGTATATATCCGCAGGCTGGCCATTTTCTGGAGTGTCAAGAACTCTTGCATTGGGCCGGGTTTGTCTTTGCCGGTGGTCTCCATTGCGACTCACTGGGATGCATGTTTTCAACATGCCTCAACAAGAGGCAGTGCGCCCAGCGCGTGCTGAGGGCCTGGACTCAGGGATCTCAGTTGTAGTTTTCTTAGGACATGGGGAATTCGGAGGAGCTTTTCAAGTTGTGCCAGAGGCACTGTTGTTCACCTCGCGCCCCTTCGAAGGAATCGGGCGTTGCTCATACACTAAGTGGCGCTTTGTGTTGTGGTCCTTCGTGCACCAGACACCGGACAACCGCTTTGAAGCGACAAGTCAATTCGGAAGAGATCGGGACCTGAAGAAGCGGTAATTATAAATGCCTGCCAGTGTCCGACGCAAGCTGCTCTTTGTGCAAGATGGAGAGCAGAGCAGCGGGACCGTACATCTGACGCAACTATGTTTCTACCTCCTGGTATTCACATTCAAGTTGCAGCTGCATTCTTTGGGGCCACACATTAAGACTACATTAAGCATGTAGGCATATCTCAGAGAAGTCATGCAATGGCAGTGGTAGTTTCCGACTCGGAGAATTTGGGAGGCATTTTGCCTAAACTCTCTGGCTCTGTGCTTGGTACTCGAGGGGCCCATGTTAAGTTGATTGAACCGAGCAGGGTGGAGCCAGCGCGGTACCAGACTCCTCGTTTGTTGGGTTCGGGGGAACGGCTGCCTCAAGGTTTCGTTTGGATGAGTTTTCTTGGATGATGACGTGCGATGATTTGTCAAGCTTCGCGGCGTGACAACGTGTTCATGACTCATCTGTTGGCTCAGGAAGTCTGGGCAGGCAGAGGCAAGTTCCATAGCGCCGTCCTCATTGATGGCAGCTGTCCCGCTTTTGATCCCGAGACTGTTGCGGCTTGATGGAGATGGCAACGCTACTGTGTGGGATATCTTGACATGCTTCAAAGAACGCGTCTGAACATTGCCACAGACCAGGAGAAGGACTGTTCTGAGCCTGCCGAGTAGTCAGCCTCACAGGCTTATCTAGGAATTTGTCAACTTGTCTTTGCGCTGGCAGGAATCGATTGGGTTAGATAGGCTGCATGCACCAGGCCATCTGCCAATTTCACCCGGTGTCCACGTGTTTCTCGCCCCCGGCATTGTTGAATGAGATTTGATGCAAGGGGCCAGCTTTGCCACAGGTGAGCCCTTCCTGCGACAGGTCGCTGACGATAGCTTCAGGGCCGGCAAAGCATCCAAGAACATTGAAAAGTTGTGGGAGGAGTTAGAGGCCTCCCAGCTGTCGGCCTTTTGCCAGCCTTTGGCGCCTAGGCCTGCACACGAGGAGATCCGGATGCGCGTGCTGGCCGTTCCAAGAGACACTTTCAATGTGGCAGGTCTATCAGATGCGGAGGCACAGTTTTTGGAAGCAGGAAGCAGAGACCAGGATTGCAAAGCAGCTTGACTACCTTCACACCAAAGGCCTTTGGGCAGGGGAGACGGTGATAGTTTCGTCAAAGGATGAGGAGCAGGAGCGCGAACGTGAGAAGGAGAAACAGCGCGACATCAGGGGCACTTCTCAAGTTGCCGAACGGGGATTGTGGCTATTGGCCAGAAGAGCGTGCAAAGTGCTGGCCAAGTTCTTGGGAATTCTGGAGCCACGGGCTTTGGAAGGTGAAGTTGACTCATGCATTTCGGAGTGAACATGTCGAGAAGTATGGGACCTCCTCAGAGACAAGCAAGTTCTGAGCTGGAATGGGTTCGTCAAGCGGCCTCTTATTTCCGGTGATTTGCATTCCGAAGCAAACTCCGGGGAAGTCGGTGTAGTGGCTCCATCGTCCGAGTTGCAGCTGCACCATCTTTTGAAGGTGTTTTGCCGAGGTGATGGGATCGCAAATCCCAAGAAGCTCGTAGAACAGCAAGTGAAGCTTCTGCTGCAGACCGAGTCTTATCGCAGCTCGAGCTTGGAAAACCTCCTGGCAAGCTAGGGAGATTGCATTGGTCATGAGATGAGGTTGCGACCTCCGAACTCAAGAGGTCTCCATTTGTGCCAAGATGCAGCAAGAGGAAGCGCTGGGTCCTCCAAGCTAAACGTTACGAATCTAGTTGTGACAGCATAAGTCACTGCGGGAGTTAAGTTCAGGTGTAAAGGCACTTGAAACCACCTTGGCCCTTGCGGAGCAGCTTCCAACAGCCTCCAGACTTCGCTTGATCGGGCTCGAGGGCCTGCGATGTTTCGTCTGTTTCGTGTTCACCCAGCAGCTGTTTTCAGCATCATGCAGTTGATGGAGTTGATGGCACCTGCCAAGTGGTGCCCTTCCGGTAATGTGGACTGGTGTTCTACGGACTGGGATTCTTAGGCGGAGCTTTCGCTGTTCAGCAAAAGTCTTGTTCCAGCTGGGCCAGTCCACAGCAGAGCATGTCAGCCACATGTCCAGCGGGATGTACACACACAAAGGCACCCTGACCGAGGAAGAGCACTCTGTCCCAACTGTGCCTTGATGAAGTGCACTGCATGGCGTGGCGTCAGCTTCAATGCGCGGCACCTGGTCGTAGTGTGGGTTGAACTCATGCTGCTTGTGTTCCACAGCAGTTGCTTTGTCGAAGCAACATGTGTTTGCGAAAGGCAGATATGGCAGTGCAGCATGGAAAGAAATCCAGTAACTATAATACCAGCCGCGGCCCGAGCTTCGCAAGACGCGTGGCATGATGAGCATGGTTGGAGACGGTTGCCGGAGCAGTTCAGCCAGGACTACATCCATGGAGCCCATGGAAGCGGGGCCTGTTGAGAAGGCACTCCTTCGAGCTGTGTCTCTTGCCGTCGTCAGCTTGACTTGTGACTAGAGTGCATGCGGGCAGGCAAAGACATCTGTACTAGTACAGTGGCTGGCCCAGATGGCCCCAGATGAAAGATCACAACGCATGGCCGTGCGTGCCGGAGTACTATTACTGCCATCTCGCAGGTGCCACGTGCGGATACTGCACGAAGCTGCACAGCGCCATCAGGTGTGGTCGTTGCTTCTGCCGGTTGTTTGCAAAGGCGGCTGCACTGCATTTTGAAAATGACTTCTCCCGTGCAGGATTTCACTTTGCGCGAGGGCAAGGCTTGCGGCTACCCATCGCTCAGGGCAAGTTGAACGGCGTAACGGTACAGTTTTGCAACAGTGTTGATACATCATTGTCATGGTTTGTGCTTCACGGGTGGCAACGGGAAGCCATTCTGACTATTCAAAAAATCAAAATGGTGAATAGGTTAATCTACGGTAGTCTATATTCGTCTGCCAGGGTCAAGTATTTCTGTACAGCAGCATGGCCTGTGGGTGTGTGCAATGTGGGTCGGTTAGGGGCATCATCAGGTCGTCCGAGTCGGGCGCAGTCCCACAAATGCTAGGGCCCCAAGCGCTGTGAAGTGCTTGCATGCGCTTCTCCACGAGATCCCTGTGATCCAGGAGACCGTGGAATGTTGAAGTCGCGTAGTCTCGCGCTGAGGATGTGACGGTAAACCGCGATGGGGTCTCCCAGTTCCACGCGGAGCTTTTCATTCGCAAGAGCCTAAAACAAGGGGTGTTTGTAGCGATCTGGCCCCTGATAAGTCGGGAGGTCCGAGAGGAAAACCCTTGGGCTTCGGAGAGGTGTATAAAATTGCGAAGGGTTCATATTTTGAGGCTTTAGGCAGTCCGCAGACCGCTGCATTGGAGTTCTGAGGAAATGTTTCCGGCGAGCTGGACGCTCTAGCCTCAGTGCGGCAAAGCATCTTGACGTGATGTCCACCATCCTCTCGTAGATGTTTTTTGCAGGTCTGAGTGCAAGATTGCAAGGCTGGTGGTCTATGCATCCGAGACAACTCCAAGAACGGGACCGCGGTGACACCTGTTTGGTTACTCGGCCAAAACTGTTTTTTCATCTGCATGCCCACGAAAGCCAGGTGAGGCCCTCCTCGGCTGAGCCCTGGCCTTGTGTCACTGTGGGCAAGTGAAGATGCACAGTTTATTTTTCTTTGGCTGCAACAAGAGGCCCCGCACCAAAGATGCAGGGCCCTCAGGCCATCCAGGCGCGTAGAAGTGAAATATAGAGCCATGGCGTTGTGGAATTGGGATTGGGCTCTGCTGCTTGAGCTCGCTTATAGTGGCGTCTTCTCCATCCGATGCCTAGCTTGCACAACTACCCACACACCTGACCGAGCTTTGTGTGCCACAGCGTCAGCGTTGTCAGCGACAGCTCGCTGCTGTACCGAGTGTTGTGTAGTTCTTGTTGGGGCGAGCCATGCTTGGGATGGTGCGGTCCAGCGGCCAATGGGCCGATCAGCACCCCAGACAAGGAGCGGGCAAGAACGGTCGGATTTTGTCGGCTCTCAGAATCCATGCCTTGAAGGACCGCAAGTCTGGGCGCTGCCGGCTTCACAAAGGCGATCAACACCTCTGGGCGCCGCAGCTGGCGGAAGGCCCGGCTGATACTGCATCGCGGTTCAAGATCGGCTTCTGTGTTGACCTCAGGCGCTCGCGCTTTGGGAAGATGCCAAGGTGCTCGTATTCGTAGCCTGCAAGGAGTTCTCCAAGAGCAGCCGAATTTGCAGGCTGCCGGCTTTGGGAAGGATGAGATTACCAGCAGTGCAGCAGTGGCTGCTTTAGCAGCATGCAGCCAATGGCGGCAAAGCTTGAGAAGCTTTGAGGCAAAACGTCGGTGTCGGTCGGTTGTTGCTGGCGCACCGGCGCAATGGCAAGCGCATCTAGGGCAGCCGAGGCCTGCTGCAGAGTCTACATTCGTCGTCCGTCCAGCGTGGCCCCTGGCTTAAATGGTGAAACTCGGTTCTTTGGATTGGACTTCTTGCTGCTGTTAAGATCCCACTTTGCAGAAGACGGAGGTGCTTTCGCATACAATTCCGGCTTGTCCAGCTGCGTCCGTGCCGGTGTCTGGAAGCAGGGACTGCAGCTTTGCAGGGCAATGCATAGATGGAAGATCGAGATGCAGATAGTCGCTCCACTGCATTCTGAAGCATGCCTGCCCAGCCTGTCTGAGTGGAGACGAGTGCTGTTTGGATTCACAACCGCCATGACCTGTGCCTTGTTTGTGCGAGGTTACCAGAAATGCAGCAGCAACACTGTATCGAGAGATTGGTAGCACGGGGCTGAGTTCGATGTGCTTCGTGGCAACGTGGCCTAAAAGCTTTGAGACCACATGATACTGAACTCAGACTGGCAAGCTGCAATCCAGTCTGCACGCGAAGCAGCGCAGTCAGCATTGCGGCTTACATCCATAAGCTACAACTCGCGCCTCTCCTGCTATAGCTTGCTGTCTGGCTGTCGCTGTTTCGAAGTTCGAGCTCACATCCAGACCTTAGACTGGTGAGGCTCATGGGCGGCGGAGGCAACACCTGGCAATTTGCTTTCGAGACACTTGGCTTCATGTTCAAAAGCCGACGACCAGCAAACCCTGACCCTTCAGCTGAGCATGCTGATCATGCTCCTATGCTCAGCCACGGATTTTTCAGCACTGCCTTGCCGTCCCCCCGCGTTCCGCGTCAACATCAGGCTGTTTCGAGATGCTCATCTTCGGGACGTTGAGTGTGACACGGTGTCATGCAACACAGCCATCTCAACTGCGAAGGACGCAATCGCAAGAACTTTGTAGAGCTGTCGTTTCGTCGAGCCGCATCGAGCATCAGGAGTGCTGGACCTCAGCTTTTGCACTTCTTCGTGCAGCATGTGCGCAAGGCCCAGGGCGCAGTTGCTGCGCCGTCTTTGCCTTCTGCCGCCGCTTGTGCTCGTGGCGTTCCAGAGTTGCTTTTGAATCGATCGCAGGTGTCCGTCACGATGCAATTACCATCGGGAGTGGCACCGATGCCTGCACACTGACAAGCTGTTGGAATGATGCCCTGCAGCTGCTACATACGGCGCGTGGGAAGGACATCCGCAGCTGCACTGCAGTAGCAGCTTCCCGGTTTTAGCAAATCATCGCATGCAGGGGAGAAGTTCGCAGGCTACAGTACAGCAGGTGGCTAGGCCATTCACTGCTCAGGCATTGACGTGCTCGGATGCTGTGCTCTTGCAGCAGCTTGTGAAGCTCGCGGTCAGTGGAAGCTGGCTTTGGCTTCATGCATGCGAAGCGTTGAAGAAGGTCGCTCGACACCAATCAGTGACACGCAGTGCACAGCTTGCAAGCGGCACCTTCGAGTCGAGTCCTTCTCTTCCAGCCCGGCCCAGGTATGGGGACGGACACGGCCCTGGCAGGTGCGGGGATCACGGCTTGCAGCTCTGCCAACCTTTGGGAGGCAAGGGCCAAAGCTCTGCGCTTTTTATGTCGCAACGGGGATGTTTTGAGCCGGCTCAGGCTGCTACGAAGATCATCTTCAACAGCATGGTGGATGCGTCACTACGAGTTGATGTGATCTCTTTCGGGGCGGCATTGCATGCGTGTGAATTGGGCGGATGCTGGCACTCGTCTTTGCGAGTCTTGGCTGCAAAGGCCACGCACTGCCGCAGTCACTGTGAGGCTTGTCGAAAGTAGATATCCCGGAACTGTTGCAAGTCCTCCTTGGTAAGCCCGAGAAAAGAAAGGAATTGTTGAGCTCATGGCTGCTGTGGGAATCCGGCAGAACGTAGCGCCTCGGCCAGCAAGGGGCTGATATCTTTGTTCGCTCCGCATACTCCAGGACAGAAAGGTGTTGTTTCAGCCTTCCACGAGGCCTCACACTCCTGCGAAGCCT